TATCTTGAAAATCGTACCTGAATAAGTCTTCTAGCCTTAAACTGGATAGTACCTAATACAGTATGCTATTTTACATAGTTCTTTCTAACTGACAGTGAGTTTAACCATTAATGGTCTTTTCCTTGTCGAAGAAGCCTATTTTTTCTTGTGAGAAAAGTTCTAGGCAGAGATACTAAATAAAGTTTTAAATACATAATTTCAGATATTATCAATCTCTCAGAGATGTAGTTGATAGAATCTATACGAAGATGGATTTGTTGCTGTTTGATGATGAGGATGAATTGCCTAATCATTTACTCAACAGTGAGGGCAGTAACCAATCCTGGAAAGAAAAACCGGCAAAAGATGTAAAATACAGAAATAATGAACCTGTCTCAATAGAAGACGAGTCCCCGCAACTGCAGAAAAATGATAATAGAAGTCCCCAAGTGATTAGGACTAAGGAGCATGCTCAGAAATTAATTGAGGCTCGAGAGAAGAGAGAGAGAGCTCGGCGGTTTTCATCTTTCACAAGTTGGGTGCCGGATTTGCAAAGAGTTTGGGTTCCAAAGCAGCTGAAGGCAACGAAACCCAAGTCTGAACCTCTTCGAAAACTGTCAAAAAGGAAGAACTGTAGCAGAGCAAACTATGACATGGTATGTGAGACGCCAATAACAGAAAAGAAGCGGTCATCCCCTCGTCGGAATAGCATTGATGATGAAGAGGGCCATAGAGACTGTGGAGCTGACTCTCACGGTTCTGTCTCAAAGGCCTTGTTTCAAGATGATATACACTAAGAATCAAGGCTTTTCTCCAGTAGTTGACATGATGCCTTTAACACAATACATGAAAGGTTGCAGGGGCCCTGTTGCCATCAATACGCCAATTTAACATTGCAAAATTTAACCAGACGGGTTTATCTTAGTCACAACCTCTAATTGTTTGTGAAATAGTTAAAATTTGTTTTATCCCTGAGAAACCGTACATAAGGTTAGTTTTTTCTTGTAAACTTACAACTTAAACGTCATATAAGATGTCTATTATTAATTGTTTGTACAGACATGTTTTATTTATTTATTTATTTTTAAAAATTCTTACATGGGCTTCCTTTTCATGTCTGTTCATAGACTTTAACTTCTTTCTTGTGAATCTATGCTGTGACAAACGAATCCAAAACGTGCTGGTTTTAAGCTTAAAGCTTCCGTTCCACTTGTAAGAATTTTAAATTTAAGCTACGTCGCTAGCCCGTGAAAACCATTGGGACAAGCTCCCCGGCCGGCCTATGCTGGACCTTTAGGCAACCCAGCATTTTTTGTGTACCATCAAACGTGCTTAGCCAGCAAATTGCCTGTCTTAAATCTTCAATCTTGTTTTCAAAAATCCACATCAGCTAATGAGAACTTTCGCTCCTCACTGCCGCCAGTTCTCAACTGCCAAGCAACTAAAGGATTTAGCTCCTTCATCACCCCCAAAACCTGAATTTCCTCCTCTTATTCTCAATGAAGACTTTTGTGGTAATTTATTAGACCAATACCCAGATATCAAAACACTTCAAAAACTCCATTCCAGGACATTCAAAGACCAGTATCTTCGCTTCAACCCATCTCTCCGCATCAAATTGATGAGAGCCTATGCGGCTTGCGGAGAGCCAACATTCACACGCCACATATTCGATGAAATCACCGAAAAGAACATCGTTTTCTTTAACGTCATGATAAGAAGCTATGTAAACAACCGTTGCTATCACGATGCTCTTCTTATATTCAAAGAAATGCCTAGCCATGGCGTTAGCCCAGATCATTATACTTACCCTTGTGTCTTGAAGGCTTGTTCCGGGTCAGATAATTTGCGGGTTGGTTTGCAAATTCATAGTGCTGTGATTAAAGTTGGTCTTGACCTAAATCTTTTTACAGGGAATGGGCTGGTTTCTATGTATTCAAAGTGCAGATGTTTGGTGGAAGCGCGGCGAGTTCTTGATGAAATGCCAATTAGAGATGTAGTTTCTTGGAATTCAATGGTTTCTGGGTACGCTCAAAATGGATGTTTTGATAATGCATTGGATGTTTGTAGGGAAATGGAGTTATTGAGGATAAAAGCTGATGCTGGGACTATGTCCAGCCTCTTACCGGCTGTGACTAACACTTGTTCTGATAATATTTTGTATGTTAAAGAAATGTTTTGGAAGTTGGCTAGAAAGAGTTTGGTTTCTTGGAATGTGATGATTGCTGTTTTCGTGAATAATTCATTGTCAACTGAAGCTGTTGATTTATATTCACAGATGAAGGCATGTGGGATAGAACCGGATTCTTTTACTATTGCTAGTGTCCTTCCTGCTTGTGGAGATCTTTCGGCTATTTTTCTAGGAAGACGAATTCACAAATATGTAGAGAGGAAGAAACTCCTCCCAAATTTGGCATTGGAGAATGCATTGATTGACATGTATGCAAAGTGTGGATGCTTACAAGAAGCAAAGGCAGTGTTTGATCAGATGAAGTCTCGGGATATTGTGTCCTGGACTTCTTTGATCTCCGCTTATGGGATGAGTGGCCAAGGTTACAGTGCTATGGCTCTTTTCTCTGAAATGCAAGACTCCGGCCTTACTCCAGATTCCATAGCATTCGTCTCAGTTCTTTCGGCTTGTAGCCATGCGGGACTATTGGAACGGGGGTGGCATTTCTTTAACTTGATGACAGAACAATATAAGATTATTCCAAGGGTAGAACACTTTGCTTGTATGGTGGACCTACTTGGACGTTCTGGGCAAGTAGAGGAAGCCTATAATTTCATCAGACAGATGCCAATAGAACCTACTGAAAGAGTATGGGGAGCTTTATTGGGTGCCTGTTGGATGCACTTTAACATGTATATCGGGCTTCTTGCTGCTGATCATCTTTTTCAGTTAGCACCTGAGCCTTCTGGTTATTATGTCTTGTTATCAAACATATATGCGAAGGCTGGTAGATGGGAAGATGTTACAACTGTTAGATCAATCATGAAGAGCAAAAGGATCAAGAAAGTGGCTGGTGCTAGCAATACTGAGATCAACGATCAGGTTTATACCTTTCTTGCTGGAGATCGCTCACATCCACAGTCCAAGGCAATCTATGAAGAATTAGATGTTCTGGTGGGGAAGATGAAAGAAGCAGGTTATGTCCCTGAAACTCACTCTGCACTTCATGATGTGGAGGAGGAAGACAAGGAATGCCATCTGGCTGTTCACAGTGAGAAGTTGGCTATTGTTTTTGCCATTTTAAATACTGTACCTGGCACACCTATTAGAATCACCAAGAATCTTCGTATCTGTGGGGATTGCCATATTGCTGCTAAGCTCATTTCACAAATTGCTGAACGTGAAATCATTGTTAGGGATACTTATCGGTTTCACCATTTCCAGAATGGTGTTTGCTCTTGTGGAGATTACTGGTGATCAATTTGGACAGGTGCTTCAGAATTCGCAATATATTGGTCTATAAGCAAAAGGCATCAGTTGTCCATTATATAAACCACACCTGGCATGACATTGTTGTATGACGTTCTTAGCAGTATGACTGCCAGTGCCATGATTTTATCAAGGGACAAATTGAATCACTGATTATCCTAATTGTTGCAGTTATCACAACTGCTGGTCCTAGATCTTATCAGTGGCCATACCTTGCTTTGGCATGGACCCTAAAAATTTTCTAGTTCCAGTCAAAATCTTGACAGTGTAAGACCGTTTTGATAATCTTCTAAGTGATCTTCTATTGTCATTGGAATTAAAAAGGCATGGTCGGTTCAGTATTCTTTCTGAAGCCTTCATGATTGAAATGGGGGTATGGCTTAAATGTGAGCTTTGACATCAGGTGCAATATCAGTTTATCTTGAGAGGTAGGCGGTGTTAAATATTCATCATTTATCATGAGTTTATGCATAGTTCTTCAGAGACACATTATTATAGGTTCTCTTTGTAGATTGGTAGTGAACCAAAAATATTGCTTCTTTGCATCTTCTCACCTTTATCTTATATTCTCATATGAAATATGGACAAGCCAGGACTTACATTTTTACTCACATTTAGTGCCCTTTTTGCAGGAACAAGTGTATTAAACTTCTGATTAGGGTGTTGGTCATGGCTCCGATTCTGTTGAATTCTCATTCGTACTCCTCATGCAGGCAGGACTTACAACCAATCGAATATCTGTCGTCCCATGAGAGAAACTACATTTGCAGCTATCCTAGTCAAGTGACCACCTCCATCAGGTTAGTTCAAATTGCACTCCCATAAAGACCTTTTGGCTTCCCAGGCAGAGTGGGGTTGGCAAGTTGATTGGAGACATGTCTGACCGGCGGATGGGTGAAGACCATGCAAGAGGAACCGCTTCCCAACCAGTACAGGAATAGAGCTGTAGAGTGCGGACTGTTTGAGATGACCTGCAGCTTGCTTCTCGCCTTACTAATTGCTAGTGAGTGGCTGGTTGGAAGTCAAACTTGGTGGTTGTATGCTAATTTGTCAAATGAATTTGTGGAACATTATTGATTGTTCAGGGAAATGTCCTTGGACTCTGTACCCCTTGACGATTCAAAAGAAATTACTTAATTCAATCCAGTAATTAATCAATATTAATTTCTAAATGTACCATTTGGAGTATTAATATTTGATGTTTATCAATGATTTAATATTAAATACTAGTTATCAATCTAAATTATATTATAAGTGGGTTCTAATGAGAACTTCTGGTGGGAAGTCAACAACTGAAAACTTGGCACTTATCCAAGCATTTTGGCATTTTGCACACTAGAGTCTCCTCGTTCTAGAATTACGCCCATAGTTGACTTGACTATCTCTTGGTCTTCCACTAATCGTAATTCGTAAACGCCTGCTCAACCGGTTAAACATTAAAAATGAAGAAAAAGAAGTGGAGCATTAAATATACTGACCTTCTACGAAGCTTTTGAGTCTTGCTTTATTTAGTTTTTGTCGAATCGTGATGGTGTTTATTGCATTCGGCTTTTCACCTCATTTTTCCACATGAAATGCAGACTGCAGAGTGGAAAGTTTTTTTCTTTGCTCAATAACTAGAGAGTGGAAAATTGCATGCATCCCTGTATGAGAGAGAGGCATCAAAAGTTTCCACAATAGGGAGCCCACCTCTGCACAATTCATTTGAAATGTAAAACTCTAATTACCCACATCCAATTTGATAAACCAATATCTCTCTTTTAAGGAATGAGATTTGAAATTTAAAACCTTATTTCAGAATTTAATTTATAGAATAAAACAAGGCACAATAAAAAAAAAAAAAAGGAATCATACCAAACCTGCTTATCTCATTTTTGTATCCTAGTAAAGGGATTCATTCACATGTTTTTGGTTCCAAATTGATAATGAGATGTGTTACTTTATTAATTTCACAAATTCTTACTTTTAAGTCAAAACTATTGAGCATTTTCAACCTTCATCTTAATACAAGTTAATGTAGAAAGAAAATTCTTTGTATGAATGTTCATTGTTCATAATGATTGAAATTTCATAACCCATAACTCGTTGAAAGCTAGCTACCATGAAAGCTTTCATACCATCACACCGGAAGAAAAATGTCCATGAGAAACACTAATACGTAGAAACCCGAGTTCTGAAAAAAAAACAAAAAAAAAAGTCAGCTAAATCAGCTTCCCTCACACACCATAAGCCATTTACTTTAAACAGGAACTTACTAGGTGCTTGGTTAAATTTCTTTTCTCTAAAGTCATAGGAAATGCTTTGGCTTTGTCTGCTTTACACTTGCTCTGTTCTTTCATAAGTCACGGGCATTGACATTCTAGTCGTTGGTGTTTGCTTGCTTCAGAAGACTTCGTTTCTATTGGACGGAGAGGCATCTAAACCCTCCATAAATATGAAGCCCATTAACAAATGGGAGGCACATCCTTGTAGCCAAAATGGCTAGAAATTCTGAAGCCAGCCCGACGCTCTTCTTTCTCCTGTTAGTCTTAGCAGTCATTAAAACTTCCCATGCTGCTGGTGGCATCGCCATCTACTGGGGCCAGAACGGCAACGAGGGAACCCTGACTGCAACCTGTGCCACAGGTAGATATGCCTACGTTAACATAGCTTTCCTTAACAAATTTGGCAATGGTCGCACCCCTGAAATTAATTTGGCTGGTCACTGTAATCCG